GTAGTTGTAGTAGTAGTAGTAGTAGTAGTAGTAGCAGCAGCAGTATCAGCAGCAGCAGCAGCAGGAGTAGTAGTAGTAGTAGTAGTAGTAGTAGTAGTAGTAGTAGTAACAATAGCAGTAGCAATAGCACTAGCAATAGCAGCAGCAGCAGCAGCGGCAGCAGCAGCTGCAGCAGGCATCAGCAGCAGCTGCAGCAGCGGCAGCCGCGGCAGCGGCAGCAGTGGCAGCTGCAGCACCAACAGCTGCAGTCGCACTAGCAGTTGTGATAGCCGTAGCAATCCTAGCGTCTCAAGTGCCAGCAGCAGCAGCGGCAGTAGTGGTAGTAGTCGTTGTCGTATTCGTAGCCGTAGTCGTAGCCGTAGCGGTCGTCGTAGTCGTCGTAGTAGTAGCGGTCAGTGGTGGTGATGGTGGTAGTTGCAATAATAGTAGGAGTGGTAGGAGTAGGAGTAGGTTAGGAGTAGGAGGTGGCGGAGGACGAGGACAGCGTCAGCTAAGACAGCAACAGTAATGAGAGAAAGACGTAAGATCAATAAGACGAACAAGTGTGAAGATAGCTGCATGAGCCTAACTCATTCTGTTTCCTCTCCTTCATCAGCTCCAGGAGCATGCAGCCGCAGCAGCATCATTCTGAGCATGTGACGATTATGGACGTCAGTTGAAGCTGTTCGTAACACGGGTGCCTACAACACGCAGCAGCTCTGGGAATAATCACGACAAGATCAATAGCACTACTTGTTGTACCCGGTGCCAGGGTACGACTACCCGGTTGTGATCTTCCATGAGGGACTGAGCAACAAGGCAGGGAAGCCACAGATGCTTAACACCAATCATGCCGGATACTTACCGTACTGTTGTCATCGTCGTCGTCGTCGTCACCTTGTTGTTCGTCGTCATTACGCTATTGTACTGGCATCAGAGTCGGAATCACCATCACCGCCATCATCATCATCATCATCATCACCACCACAATCATCACCATCATCACCGCTGCCATCATCACAATCACTATGACCACCACCTCCGTCAAATCCGTCATCCAGGGGTATCCCACTTCGGCACTCTGGCGATCTGAAGGGAACAGTTCCAGTGTTGCTTTTCTTGATAGTTCAATCGGTTGGTGTTGCGTTCGAGTTGCAGCAGCCACTTACTCCGAAGGACCGGTGTGCAGCACAAGCCTGGATTTAATTGGAGTTCGCCTTGCAGCATTCCTCCAGCATCCCAGCAGCATTCACGGAAAGTCTCAGTGACATCCGAAACACGACTTGTAAATCACTGGTAAGAAGTAACCTATGAGAGCCTTCGCAAACCCTGAGGATGGTTTTGTAAAGCCCTTACAAGAATCCTGGAGCATCAGGGCCGGGAGCGCATCGTTGCTGCGTCTGAGAACAGGGTGTGGCTCGCTCTGGTGCCACGCCGGGTTCCAAGATCTCGGAGTTTCGGGTTTCGAATTTGCGGTTTAGGGTTTGGGGCTTAGGGTTTAGGGGGTTTAGGGTTTCGTAGTCACAGGAAGCAGCCAAAAGGTAGTGGTGAACCTCTGACTGCAGCTGGAGCCTCGAGGCCTAGGAATCCGACAGTTCTGGATTTCTGCCCCATGGAGAAGTAGACTCCCAGGAGGACCACTGAGCACACTGAATCGTAGGATCCTTGATTTGCATGATGACCGGACCCAAGAGAAAGGAACTCCAAAGTCGAAGGAGCATCCGTCTCGTCTGCAACTTCTCGGTTTTCCATTGATTCCAAACAACCTGACGCATCTGCTTTTCCGACGTCATTTGCAGTATTTTTTTTTGTTTCAGGGTTTGGGATTTTGGATGGGGTTTAGGGTTTAGGATGTCGGGTTTTCGGGTTCAGGGCTTAGTGGGTTCGCTAAAGCCGGATCCGACGGCTTCTGCCAAGGCTTCAAGGAGGTCCCTCCAGAATGGGCGGAGGCCTGCAGCCTGACTTTGAGCTTTCTACCGCAGTTAGAGCAGATATAAACTACTGCCATGAGAACTTCTTCATGGTCACTATCATCATCGTCGTCGTCATCACCAGCGCCATCCTTACCATTCTCATCGTCATCGTCATCATCATCATCATCGTCATCCTCGTGATCATCACTCGGAGAGTTGCAGAAATGACAGGCCTCTCTATTTGTCTGGGCATCTTCCACAGTACGACGCTGGGTTTCAGGCATGGCAATGTCCACCCGTGATACTATACCCGGCGTGGTTTCCAGACGGGGAGGGTAGCCGCAGTTTACCTCGGGCGATGCTGCTTGGCTTCAGTTCTGCAGGGCATGACTGCAACACTAGGCCTAGCCCACTACCAGGTTTGCCACGGGACTCCCAACTCCCAAGGAGTAGGCATTGCAGGCATCCACAATCGGTGATTTTCACACCAACCAAAGGTGTCGCGGCAGCGCGCGTCGGAGTTTGCTGTCGGCTACCGGGCAATGACGCGAGCGGCTCAGTGAGGATGTTTCGCCGGATATACTCAGGAACCGCAGCCGTGTGAAGTCCGAAAGGCTGACGACCAGAGAGGTGAAACACCAGCAGCAAACTCCATGATGCAGCTGTCCACAATGTCGGGTCGGGTTGCAGGCTCAAAAATGCCGAAACCGAATGGCCAACGCGAAGTTGCTTCTGCTCCAAATGCATTGGAGCTGCAGGACATTCCTTCCCCGGCTTTGCCCCGATGCTTAAACATTACAGCCCGCGTTGATTCATCCAAAGCCCTCTCCCGGCCAAGGCGGTGGCGGTCTGGCCCCGTCTTTCTGGAGCCAGCACTTGCAGGCTCTTGCGTTATGTTGCTGACTTCCGGGAAATGGGCGCCATGCCCGGCATCGTGAGTCCTAATTGACATTAGGGTCTGAACACTTTAATGTGGTTGGGATATGTTGGTATCATGCTTACAATTACAACCAGTTTCATCTTTCCTCTGATTCGCATTGCTGCTGTCGTTGTCGCTGTTTTGTCTAACAGGGGCAAGGTTACTCGGATAGTATTGGTAGTCGTACTCGTGCAGGTATTGGCGGAATTGGAATTTGTCTGGGGAAGTAGCGGCCGAGTAGCGTTCGAATGGGTATCAGAAACCTGACGTATGATGGTTCTAATTAGTATGATTATTCTTTATCCGTATCATCTTCAGTTGTTATAGCACGATGCACCTCACAGGTCTGCATATTATAAACATATACAGATGATTCTAGCGGCGCAGCTGTGCAAAAACGACCATCTACCTATAAGCATAATATACGTGCCTGCAGCCTGGAGCCCACGCTGCAAGGCTTCGATTATGCCATGACCTTGGACACGGACTCCTACTTTCCGGGCCCTTTGGGTCCGCAGCTTACTGAACTGTGCCAGGAGAATCAAGGAAAGGCAGGGCGACCCCCTCAGGGCTTTCAGTAAGTCAAATCTTGCTACAGCAACACAAACTTCCTGCAACACACCGGCACGAACTCGATTGCAAGGGTCTCTGAAGCCAGAAGACGAGGCGAGGATCCCTTTGAAGTGCTGCACGCGCAGGGCTGGGGCCTGAGGGCAAAAGCCTGTGGCTTCGTTTTCCGGATTTGCCTGTAAGGGGGGATTGGTCGGTTGGTTCTACTGGGAGGTTCAGCGGTAGCTATAAGTGGGGTTAGAGGTCCCCTAATATGGGGTTGTAAGTATAGATATGGGTTATAAGTATAGTTACCCTACTTATAACCCCATTCATAACTACGCCTGAACTCCAAGTAGAAATAGGACTAACTTGTGCAGTCTCTTCCCAGAGGCTTGGCGGCAATGTTCCCCCACTTGGGCAGGGAGTCGGCCAGCGTAGGGTGCTCAGCTTGTGAGTCCTACTGGCAACCTACCGGCAATGTTGGCCTAAACCCTAAACCCTAAACCGCACTTGAAGGTGGTGGTGAACTTCATGCACTACTTCCTGCTTTACTGCAGACTCCAGAAGCTGGATCCTCGCCGCACGAGGACATTTGGGCCGTGCTGGCGTAGGCTCCGACCGATTCAGTCCTTCCGAGCAGGATGCTCGCGGCTTTGATCGAGAAGAACTACAAGTGGTACCAGCAGCTCTTCTCAGCGTGTTTCATCATATTCCTCCTTGTATCGGAACTGAAAAACGTCGGACAACCCGAGGCAGTGTTTGATGCTGGATATCGAGATCCTTCGGTTGGATTGGTTCCGTGGGCCGGTGTACCAGGACTCTCCGGGAAGGCTTTCAAGTCGTAGTCACGGCTGTTGTCTGAGTGTCCAAATCCTGTGTATGATCCACTTGAGTACCTTGAGTACCATCGATGGTGCAATGTTGATGTACTTGACATATCCGAAGGACTTCTTCCGGTACATGGACTCTGTAGGCCGGCGCTTTCGATTTCCGTTGACGACGCCAGTGGGCCTCCTTTGCTCGTTGCCATCCCGGGGAGAGGTGGCTTTTGGATCCACCGCTGGGGCAACAATCCGGTTGCTGGGCCCAGCATGGATTCTCTTGCAGGGCGATGTAAACTTTTCGGAAGCTTTGGAGAGTACTGTCCGTCGGGACGTGAAGCTACCTGCAGCGTTCAGTGGTCAGTGAATGCTGCAAGGTTCGGACCTTCGCCGTAACGCTCCTCCTGGAGGATAAGGAATGGCTTTCAAAGGTCGTTCTTGGCGACCGAGCTCTGCTTTTCAGAATGCTGTCTGCTTTGGTGAGGATGTCCGCACGGCGTTCCTCCCCTATGCCCATCAGGTGGGGTCGGCGCAACGCCTTGCCCAGTGGAAATGCAGATAAGAGGGCAACAAGTAGTAGCAATTAATGGCACACTTCGGTGCGATCTTAAGCTCAAGACTCGTCCGATGTTTGCACGGTTGCCTAACAGGATTTTTGTTCCTGCGGGGCGGGTCGCGCCTGCCAGTGGATTTCCGAGAAGGAGGAGCTTGATGTGATATTTCGTGTGTCGGTCTGTGAGTGAATAGTTGACTAATGAAGGGGGCGAGTGATTGAGTGGCGGAGTGACCACTGGTATGAATGCATCCGTTCATACATGCATCCATTTCCCGTTCATCCGATAGTATGAGGCAATGATTGACATGACCAACGAATCGTTGCGTAAGTACCAGGTGTGTGTGTGTATATATACACATGTATATACGTACACGCACACTACAACAACTGTCCATGTTACCCCGTCCTAGCAAGGAACTTTTTGGGCTTCGCTTCACATGCAGCAGCCGCTTACACATGCGCAGGAACGGTATTCTGCCCAATCATTTCGACACAGATTCCTCTCCGGCTAGACATAGTGGATCTTAGGTCCGGGACTGTGTTGCAATTCGACCTTCCATTGCTACAACACCTGCCGCTGCTGCTACTGCTGCTGCCGCTGCTATTGCTGCAGCGCTCTACTGCTGCTGCTTCTACTACAAGTGCTCCTGCTGCTGATAATACATAATAATAATAGTGATGATTATACCACTCTTCATGGTATGACGAATGATACTGCAGCCGGCTGTTACACGGCTTGTTCTGGTCATAAGTCCTTTCTCCTATTCTGGCTGGTCGTACTTGCTACAAGATGCTGAAATCGCGATCTCACGCGACAGCGTAACCTGCATCAACCAAGAGCTTTTCTCTGTTGCTCAGTGGACTCAGCACAGTCAACCCTCAAGAGTCATTTTTGCCCGGATGGGCTTCCTTCTTATCCACAAGTCGAGACGAGTGTATCTCTCCTACGGCGGTCTCCTATGTAGGAATAGCGGAGCTAGGCAATATGCAGTGGCACTATTTTGTTCGAGCATTGCATGATGTCTAATCTATGTCCCTGTTGCAAGAGTTTCCCAGCCAAGTAGCAAAAAACTGGTAGATAGCCGGGGGTTTGCCAATTCATCCATACTGCACTGTGTCCACTTATCTGCCTGTGTATCTGCATACTTGGCCACCCTTTCAGCAAGCCTGGTGAACAGCAGACCAGCAGGGATCTGCAAAGCTCTCATTAACCATACGGTTTTCCACAGGCTTGTTGTGGTCGTGATGTCTCATTGAGTTGGTTCAGCCAGCCGATCTGTTGGCAAACTCTCCAATACTTCAAGAACTTGTCCTGTTTATTTGGGTCCCTTCATTGGCTTATGACCCCCCATGAAGAGTCCGAGGCCCGCAGAGAAGCAGCTAAGGCCATGTATATGTACAGACATACAGAGATAACTACATATGTATATACATATATATATACATACATACATACATACATACATACACACACACACACACCTTAAAGTCCAGGAGTACACTTGCGACGAGAAGCCTGGATCTTGGCCTGGGTGACGGGACGGATGGCATCGACCACAAGCAGATGCAGCCGTATGAGTAGATGCTGAGCTTGGCTCCTCTCAACACTGCATTTGTCAGTTTGCTCGATATCATGCAGGATGCATGCAAAGCCCTTCCAAGGTCGGAGCCTGCGGCTATTGCAATGGAGGAGCTCGCAGAAGGATTGCTTGACTTGCAGCCTGGTGCCTAAAGGAGTTGTGCATCCACCAGCAGGGAAGGGCGTGCGTGCCATGTAGGCACAGGCCATGTCAGAGTGTGATGTCAGGAGAAATACTGTAAACATCGTCGTTTCTCTGATTCTCTGTTGTCTACAACAAGACTGAGATCTGACATATGCCCTGCTGATCTATCTCTGATTATTGTAAGGCCCTGGCGTGGATCAGCCCGGCAGCTGAGTCGACAGTCCCAACAGATGGACGTGATTCGCTTCGCTTCCGGGCAAACTTGAGGCATTAATTGCATCGGGCTCGGGGACATTGAGCAGCTTGCTTTGGTCGAAAGCTGTGAAATCGGAGATGATTTCTCTGGCAGGTGCCGGGTTGCCCGATGACTTGTCACTGGCGCTTGCTAACGGACCCCGCGACCTGAATCGGTCGCGGTCGAAAAAGTTCTCCTGCCCAGCATCAGCTCGGAAACGTCGGAATCTAGCTCCAAGCTAGCAGCTCTCGCTGCAGATCTCGCTGCTCCGTGCTGCTGGGGGGGGCGGGTGGGGCATAGGTGAGCTTTCCACTGACGCCCTAAGCCTGCATGCGCCCACGCGCGCGCAGGAACGGAAGATGGCCGACCTGTCAGTTCTGGCGTTTACGCTGGTGGTTGGAGCGATCCACAGGCGCCTCTGTGGGTGGGCTTGCCGGGACTCTATTTGCAAAGCCGCATGGCCGTGTGAACCATGAACTCAAGATCCTCCTGGAGTAATGTCCAGCATGTGCGGTGCTGCTTCACTGAGCTTGTGTTCCTGGCAGCAAGCGAGGGTCTCGCCCGCTTTCCAGGACACGATGCTAATGAATAGTGGGGCTGGCTGAGTGGCAAAGTGAGAGAAGCCTTTCACTGCACAGCCAACTTGCAACCGGGACGGTGGCCTAGCCACCTCTCGCCCGGACCTCCCGTTAAATTGGGCCATATTATGAGAAAGCCACTCGCACATCAGTTCACCGAACCAGCCCTCCCTGGGAGCACCCCATTGCTCGAAACCTTGACCGTGCCGGAGATGCCGACTGCAACAGGTCGCCAGTCCTCGCGTCGTACCGACAACATCCAGGGCTTCAGCAGCGGCTCAGGGATCAGTGTGCGCCTGCCAGCTTCCGGGGCTCGTTTGGGGTGCGAGTTTGAAGCACGACTTTCTGTCACTTTATTGGCACGCTGCGTTTGAGGTTGCTCCAGAACCCTGCATCCGGAATCGTTCATTTCCGATCGTCAATCCTCACTATATCACCGGCTCAGCACGGCGGAATCGCATTTTGCTAAAACTGGACATCCACCCCCTCTCCGCGCAAGAAGCCGGACTTATTCAACTCCAAACGAAGTCTTGCAACCAGGCAGAGTCGATCTTAGCTTCGGCCTGCATCGAGGCTGGGCTATCGAGGCCCCCGGATTTGAGACCAGAAATGCAGCTTCTTTGGAGAACAAACCCTAGAAATCCCTGTTGGGATGCACAACCCTGAGCCAGATTGCATTTGGGAGGGGCTCCTCCTTGTGATGCTTCTTGGGCCATTTTGGCTTGTTGATTGCGCCGGCTTCGGTTGGGAGTTGGGATTCCCTCTGCATGCTGGCCAGGTTTCGGATGTCGGTCTGGGTAACAAGCACTTTGCATTCTCTTTCAAGTCTCTTCGCATTGACTCTTCGTATGAGCATGCCTTCAGGGCGCTGTGGGCAGCGACTTCAAGATTGATGCTTCCTACATCTCGCCGAATGCTGCGACCTTACTGGCAGAGCCCATGGAGCACAGGAAGTTGGGGCTCTTCGCAGGTCAGCATTGCCAATAGCATCGAGCATGCGACCAGGCGCCTGCATGTTTGCTTTCTTGGCGCCACCAGGCTTTGAGGAGGGCTGGGCCCCATTTCAAGCTCAATCCCCACGCAGGAAATATGGCGTCAGGATATTGATCTCCCAAACAGCCCAGAGCTTACACCAGCTCGCACCGTTGGAAGATGCGGAGCTTCGTGTTAGTCGATCGTTCCTCTGCGTCTCTCTCAGGTGGCCCAGTGCTGCACGAAGGAGATGGCCAGTAAGATGCGCTTGATCGACAAGGCTGGGTACTGTCCGGAACTACATCTCAGTGGCAAACCATGGCCTCTGAAAACCCGGCATATGGGAAGGCACATGGCTGCGCAAGGGTTAGGGCGGCGAAACTGTACGGGGCATGCCATGAAGGTCACAATCAAAGGCTCGCTTGTGCCTTTGGAGCTGTACTGCCTGGACTTGGACTTCAAGCGACTTCAGGCCCGTCTCTCGTAGTGGGTCGCCGGTGCAGCAGATACGAGACACAAGAGCCGGCAGGCAGGGCTGACATGTATGTGCACACATCATACGCTGATGTCAGAATATCTGTGTACATGGCGTGCATTGTGGGCGGATATACGAACTCGGGCACAACATGAGACAGTACCCATAGAGAGATGCATAGCACTGTCTCTGTTCACAGCAGAACATGACTGTGCCAGACATCCGAATGCGGTGTGACAGGAGACAGTCTAACATCACCTAACTCGAGGGAAGAAGCGCTGCAGAAGGGGTAACAGGGTTTAGGGTTTACGGTTTAGGGCAACCCTAAACCCTAAACCCTAAGTCGGAGACGCTCTACACTGCTAGCAGCCTGAGCACTCAGCATGTGCAGACAGGTTCGTACAAGCTTGAATTCTGTCGTTTGCGGGTTGTCACAGCATGAATGCCTTCTTATGCTGACCTTGTCAGTGTTTGGCTTTTGAGGATCCCCTGTTGTTGTGTACAACCCACGAGCCCTTGAAATTATAGAGCCATCACAACTCGGTTGTGGCATTGCTGATCGCATCTTTAGGGCATGTCCGGACCTGCAAAGTCCCGCTTCCTGGTCATTGCTGAGTGCTAGGGAAGCTTGTTGTCTACATTTGCTATAATATAATATACTAGAGTCGACTATAATGTACGGTGATATACGATTCCAAGAATAAATAAATATATATATATATATGTATATATATATATATAATAACTATGATATGTTCTATAATATACTACAATGTAAATATAGCCAACCTGTTGGACGGCATGGCATGCGTGCACAACTTGTTCTCCCCAGCCTGGTGTTGCGACTTCGGCGGTTCCTGCATCCTCATATGCACTGACGCAGACGTAGCAAAAAATAGCCACATCCGACCAAGCTTTCACCTGTTGATTACATCAACAAACTACCCAGGTGCACACACAGTTGCCGAAGTTAGAAGCGCTGTGATGGGGGAAGCTGGAGCGCATATTTGCAGATGCCGGTGAACAGGTGGAGGATCGGCCGGAGTTGCCGATCACGTGGAACTCGCGCTATCGCTTCAAGCCTGGACCCTAGCGAGGGGTTCCAGGGTTCAAGGTTCCTGGTTTCGGGATTAGAGGTTTGGAGGTGTTTCTGCTGTCCTTTAGAGTGTGCCGAAGGCCGAAGTCTGCTCGAATCCATGTGTGATAGGTTCGTGTTTGCGTCTGGTGTATCTTGTTTACATTGCAATTGAGACTTGCACCATGCATCGTCCATACTGCAATCCTTAAGGCTACTCCGTGACCTTATCCCGAAACTGACCCTGACAGCTTTGTAAATCAAAGACCGTTGAACCCGGTAGCAGGCTAAGTTGTAACTTTTTCCATTTGGTTTAGCATTTTTTCTCTTAGACGTAGCTTTTTCCTACCTACCCCACTTACCTCGCCTACCCCCACTAGCCCACCTGACCCACCTACCCCGCCTACCCCACAAGCCCCAGGCGCAGGAGTGAACCCAGCGAGAACCCTTACCCAAGAAGAACACCCTAGAGTGAGTGAATCCAGCAGGAACCTTTGACCGAAAACGACAACCCTAAGGAGTGAATCTAGCGAGAACCCTTTTCCCAAAACCCTGAACGAACCTTGTGTGACTGTTTTGGTTTTATGCTGAATACATCACATAAATTGCGATTTGGTGCTAAATACAGCAGAAAACAGCAGAAAAAGTTAATACACAAAAAGGTTAGTGGTTTGGTGAACTATGACTAAGATGCCTGTTGTGCAACCCTCTGCAGAGAGTTGCTGGTTTTTGGAGCAGAAAAAGTTACAACTTAGTCATTTGCTGAAAAGCTGGAAAGTTACAGTTACATCTGAGAGAAAAGTCATAACTCAGTGTTCTACCTTGAACAATACACTGCAAAATCCCCCAACCCCAAACCGTGAAACCCGAAACCTTATACCTTGAAGCCCCGGAGCTCTACACCATGGAATTAAACCCTAAATCCCAAACCCTAAACCCCATAAACCCCTAAACCCTAAACCCTAAACCCCTAAACCCTAAACCCCTAAACCCCTAAACCCTAAATCCTGAGCATAGCATAACCTCTAACCCCTCGAAGCCTTTCCGTGCCCGAGGTCGAGGCACGCCATGGAGGCCCAGAAACCTACGGTCATGCTGTGATCTGTAGACTTATTGAATTCCAGGCTTTTAGAATTTAGGGCTTCGTTCCTCGGGGTTTTACCAGAGGTTTTAGGGGTTTAGCTTTATTCATAGCGCAAGGGTCTTGAGAGTGTGGCGACTTGTGGCACTGGCTTTCAGGAATCCCCGGACCGCCAAGCTCCGCACAACCCGCCCGAAATGGAGATGCAGGGAGTATCTCAGAACCCCAAAATGTTAACAATGTAAATTGTGGATCATGGCATGGCCTTGCACAGTTTAACGGCTAATGCCTCGGCCTCCCCACCAAGGAGGTGCATTGTGCGTTCGGAAACTCTTTGTGTTGCTGCGCGAACCATGCCAGCCCACTGTTTCACGAGCATAGCGGCATAGCATCGTGATTTTTTCGAAGACATCATGTCTTTTGCTTTTTCTGTAAAATTTTCAGACACGCATGGTTTCAGTGCTTCATGGCGCGTCGCGCTCTCGCTGGTTCAATACTTTCGGCTTTGGGGTGCTTGGGTGAAAGTTAGAGTGTCGTGGTGTTGTGCTGATTCTGCAGTATGTGGATCGAAGCTGCAAAACCACTTTACATGCATGGGTTCTGCTTACTGTAGTACTTTCATGCTCGTTATTATTGTCTTTCTGTATTGCTTCCTTCCTGATTCGAGTGTTTCTGCAGTTTTTCTCCTTCTTCCTGAGTCGAACCATTGCTTTTTTGTCTTAGTTTCTGTAGTTCTGCTGGTGTTGCCTGTATGTACTTGTTTTCTTTATGTCTCTCTTTCCGCACTTTTACTGTCTTTATGTTGTTATTGCTTTATGTCGTTCTTTAGCTGCTTGTTCTTTAGCATTCTTTAGTTATTTCGATTACTTTAGATGTTTGTTTTGTCTTTTGCTTATTCGTTAGACACCTTTGCTTGTGTATTTCGTTATGTCGTTTTGTTTTATGTCTTTGCCTTTATTTGTGTCGGGGAGGTAACACCTACTCACATGGCGAGCCTGTCCCAAAACGCTCATATTCACATTGATGGTGGCCACGTGGATGACCTCAGACCCTCCCCTCCTCCACCAAAGCCATGCCAAGAAGAAGCAAAGCAGCCTTCCCCCCACCCCACACACTACAAAACAAACTCGACCCCAATCCCCAGAGCCTAAATCCCAAAGCTGAAAGCCTCAGCTCGGGATTGGGAGCCCTGAGGTAGGTCGAAGTTTCATCTTGGATCAGACTCGTGGTGGTCACGACCACGATATGATGGCTTTTATTGGTAGTCTTGTTCGTGTTGCTTCCTTTTCTATAGCAACACTCAGAGAAGCAGCTGATTGGCCTCTGCTGCCTCTCTTGCGTCTCCCAGATGCGGAAGAACCATCTCTGGGCTGACGAGTTCTCCAAGGCAGCGCTGTTTGCCACTGCGTCTTGTCGAGCAAGCACAACGGCCGTCACTGAAGAGATGTACCGTAAAGCAGAAGAAAAGCACTATTTGACTTCCGGTACATTCCTTCATTGAGGGATTTTGGCTACTTTGACCACAGTGCTTGCATGACACTTGCGGCAGGCACATATCTTGAAGAAGGAGCCGCTTCACCTTTGATGTCGCTGATGTCGCACAGATTAATACCAAAGATGCACGGCAGAGTAGGGCCAGTCTTTCCAGCGTGCCAGTTGAACCACGAAGAGACTTTGCTCCTCCTGCAATCTTGCTCCTACACATGCGGGTCATGACAATGCGCTGCTTGTTCCTGTAGTCTGTGTCGTAGCTGATGCAGGACCCTCATTTCCAGGAAATGCGCACTCCCTACACGGACCCATTCCTGCAAAAGTTCAACATGGGGTGCCCTCGGAGCGATGAAGCATCTGTTCATCAGGAGCTGTTTCTGGAGTGAGATGTAGCTGCCGACCTGATTGTAGAAACCCATGTTGGTCCGATCCAGGTACCAGAACTATGCTCAAGGCGAGTGGCAGGTTGCCAGAAATCTCTTGATTCAGACGCACACCATGCTCCGTGACAAGGACGCCTGGGAATTTCAATGACTCTCACCATGAACCTTTGAAGCCCTCTTAACTTGAAGCCCCTCCAAGCCCCCCAAAGGCTGAGGCCTCAACAGAGGCCCTGGCGCAGCTCCCCCGGAAAGGTGGGCTCAAAAGAAGGGTCCACTGACCATTTAGGTCTTGGGGTCATGTCGACGCACCCGCAACGAAAGCAGCACCGTCGGCTGGAGGATGGGCCGAGCGAAGCCCTCTTGCGCTTCATGGAGAAGCCCCACCAGTTCAAGGCCATGTCATTTCCATCATGGCTCCAAAGAATCGAGGTTTGAAGTTCGGGATTTCCGGCTGCACCAAGTCGTAAAGCCACGAGTTGGAGCAGCAGAAGCCACAAGAGCTTTGCAGCTACATCCGCCTCCTGAGAACCTCTATGCCTTGGTTTCCATTCAAGCAGGAGAGCAGCCGCCTTTGGCTTATGTTACTTATGTTGCATGTAAGATATTGAATGTTCCCTGTCGCACTGCCATCTGGCTGTGGGCTTCCTGGGTCTCTGCACTCTGGCCACTCGGGAGTTCGCAAATGGCTGACACAGACGGCAGTAGACAGTCCAAGAGGACAGAGTAACGTCGGTCATGCACGGAAGTGTCACATTCAGAAACTGTCTTCATCAAGGGCCCTGGACTGCCATACCCTATCATCTTCTATCCTTCGGTAGACTACTGTCTAGTGCAAGAGGCTGGTCCGAAATCTCCAAGATGCTAACTCAGAAGTAGATTCCCATCATGTCGGAGATGTGTCTGCAGGCTCCAGAAGCTTGGCGAGGCACGCCCCCCCTCCCCCCCCCCCCTCCTCCCCTGTCATTTCAGGACTTTTGATGGTTGGGCCCGGGATGCTTGGGCTTCCGACGGGGCCTACAAGGCTCCATACATTGCGCAATAGGAGCCTCGAGATCTTTCTGGCTGTTGAAGTTGGAGTGCGACGTGCTTCGAGTGGAGGACTGTGGTCTTTGTCCCCCCCCTTGTTGGCCGAAGCTCCGTTCATGCCGTTGGCACCAGTGGACCAAGACTCGTCTAGGTGTCCATGCGCTGGAAGATCCTTGGTGAGCTCTATGCCGGGAAGGGTCATCACCTTCAGATGGCGACGAATACCACTGTGAGGTGTCAGCCCTGCGCCTTGGAAACAGCCACTCTTGCGACCCTAGCTCGGCTTACTTGTTTCCATTTTTCCACACCTCACCTAGCATTTGAGCAGTGTTTGAGCAAATGTTCAGCGACACGACTCGGACCCTGCAAACCGGCCTGGTCACTCCACTTAGGATCTAAGACCCATGTTGCAAACTTTGCAGGGTCGGTGGTCGTGTGGAGAGGAGCCGACGAGCTCCAAACCGAAGGCCTCATGAAAATCAGAGGTCTTGTATCAACACTTTTCACCAACAGCTATCATAGGCACAGTCCGAGGCCAAAGCTGTGCGATGCCAATGGCTTGCAGCTAAGAGCTGTCTGGAGACCATCATGGCCCCATATAGCCTTCGAGAACACTCTCGCAAGGGCCTCTCGCAGCTGACCCGAGACGCTGATTTCGCGATGACATGACGAGAGATTGTCAATCTGTCTTATTTGTTTCACCACACAAATTCAGCCAAATGCAGCCTTAGCAAAAAAACATTTTCTACCTTGTATGCACATATGAGCATGCCGAACAGAAATATCAATATCATAAAAATATACATCTTCCTTCTTTTACCATGTTTTTTCTATATCTTCGGTGCATCTCCTTAGTATGAGACTCCGAGATAGATGGGACAATATACTCATAAATATGAAAAATTTGTCATAAAAAGATATTATGGATTATCTATAATCTAGGAAATACGTTGTGGTTATTCTCTTCGAAATCTGTATATATATATATATATGAATTCGTCTCGAATGGATCGAGAAATGAATTTCATATTAAATTAGATTTGTTTTAGGATATAGTGGGATTGGGAGATATTATTATATTGATTAGGGAAAGGAGTTTTCATCTTTCTATTGGTATTTTTCTTATAAGTATTCTAGATATCGTAGCTAGAGCGTAATGTGGAAACATAAGTTCTGAGTGAGAGAGTATGAGTACTGGGGGCGTGTTTGTATATCGTGGGCATGGCAAGTGGTGGGCGAGAGAGAGTGGTAGGGGAGTATCGTGGGGCGAAGGCATATATATATATATCGTGGGGAATATTATGCGAACTTGAAAGAAATATTGCGGCGTGGAGGCCGTGTCGTTGGTGGGGGGGGGGGGGGGG